TGGGCTGTTTGGATATTGAATAGCGTAATAACCTGCAGAACAATCACAAATTCTTTTGCTGGCCTACGCATTGGAATGACAAATAGGCAGCTATAAAAGTAAGTTGTCAAAATTTTGTTTCGACAGAAACTCCCAAAGTTTCAAAAACTTTCGTGTCTAACGAAGAAAGAATTTGATATGTTATGCGGCTATGAACAATGATGGCAACGCCACCACAGGGTCCATCAAGACGATCATTTCTATAAATGAAATAATTTGCGTACCTCTTAACCTTATGATCAGGTTTAAGGAACGTTTCAGTTATAACGGCAATATGCACGTTATGAACTCTCAAAAAGTTAAATAGCTCATCTTCATTATCTTTAAGAGATCGAGCATTCCAATTTACAATATTTAATGCTTTAAAATCCATTACTGAATTTTAAAGTCATGACAATATTATTTGCAAATTTTACTCCAGTTTGAATAGCATCAAACATGGAGTTAGATTTAAGCATATCAGAAATCATGTCAATTAATGATTTCTGTAAAAATTCCATTTTAGGGGCAGTAATGCTTCCTAAGTCAAAATTGTCAAAATTTCCGTTAGAATTACGTTGGTTAGTATTTCGATTTCTACCCGTTGTAATAGCAGCAAAGGTAGCTCCATTAACTCGCTGAACATTGTTAGCAGCGAGGGGAGTAGGTACAGATGAAAAATTTGAAGCAGGGGTGATATTTGTATCTACGGGTACGAATGTAGAATTTGTTCCTCGCCGACCATTGTTAACAGCAGAGGAATTTGTACCTGTTCGGGAACGTGTAGTGTTTCCTACCTGTCGCTTAAAACGAGATTGTAGGATCGCTTTGCGAGTTTTACATTCCCAAAAATTGTTTTGTGGTTTTCACCACAATTTGAACGTGAGAGGAATCACCACAATTCATGCATTTAGTTGGCATGTAGCAATTTTTAGTTCCGTGACCCCATCCCTGGCACTTACGGCACTGGGTGAGGTATTGGAAATTTTCTCCAATCTTCCTGAAGTGTTCCCACTTCACTCGGACATGGAGCATAAGGCTAGCTTTTTCTAAGACCTTAAGGTTGTTTAGTTAACTAGACTTGAAGTGAACTAAACAAAAATCATTAGAAATCCCGTTGCGCGAATCGCCAGGACGGGATTTCATTTTCATTTTGATTACTTGGAGTGGCACAACTAAGTAAAAAATGTGTGCTTCTTCTCAGTAAGATACTTGAGAAGACATTTAAATCCGTCCAAGGTTTCAGCCATTCACCCCGACGTCCAATTTGTAGTGAAAACTTAACTTTCACGAAATTCAAAAGTTCCATGCGAAGAGCATGGAAATCGGAAGTGGTTATCACAACAGGGGGAATCTTTTCCTTCTTGGCATTAAGCCAGGAAAGTTTACTAGAGTTTTTCTTGGATGATGGATCATTCTCATCATCCGTGAGCAAATCAAATTGATTACTCTAATTAATTTCATCAGAAGGGGGATCAAGAGCTTGTTTTGGCGCCATGGCGGTAGTAAATTTTTATCCAAATCGACTTCCAAGCAGATTACTATAAGAGTCTGAAGGATCGAAGAGGAATTTTCCAAATCGATACCTTAGAAGGATTACCTCTGGTAGGGTCCAAACAAGGATCGAAGAGGAATAAGAGTTGAACAAGGTAGAAAATGTTTACAGGTTGAGCACTGAAAAGTGCTGTTTGAATTTGTTGTAGCTTTAGGTAGTAGTAACACTTCCTTCAGCAAAAAGCAAATAGATCCGCACGGCAAGAGAGCACGATGCGGACTGATATTTACTTGTCATCTTATTTAAGTTTAGCTGGTCTTAGTTTCTGAAGCACGTCACGCAAACATAGAATAGCTGGCATTTTCTTGTCCAATGACTTAATAAAGTTTTTAACTATCCCTAGCGGATATAAAGGGGAAAAAGCAAAATTGAGTCTCTGGAACGAGTGATGGGTAGATACATTAGATTTCCTTAGCAGGTGTTGTCCACGCCTTTCCCAATCAGTTTTTAGTATACGACCATCATCGTGACAACAAAGTTCATAAAGATGGCGGTACCAAAAAATTTGGACGTGTTAGGATATAAGTATTTTCTAGACTTTTACTCAGGCAACAACCAGAAAGTCAAATATGGTAAATTTTCTCAGCCCTAGAAAGTTGTTTAATTCTTATAGTCTGCAAAGGCCAACAATACTTTTGAATTAATTAAAATAACAATAAAGTTTGATTAAAACCATCGGATTTAGAGTATTTTCATTATTTTGGAATGTTAAAATAATTACTTTACGGAAATTTCAACATACCAGCACATACTATGGGTTTTACAGTGATTTTACATAAATTCTAGATTTTTAGGTGGGTTCCCAATTAAAAAAATCACCCTAACGAAGGGTAAGACAACAAAATATCGTTTTAAAATGTTCTAGAAAAATGTTCCTCAAGTAACTTTCTACAAAAAACTCTCGGACGGGAATGTCGTAACATGCTTTAGTTTGGCAGTATACGACTGACATCGGGACAACATACCATACTTCATAAAGAGGGTGGAACCTCAAAATTCAGACGCGTTAGGATATAGGTATGTTCTGGACTTTTACTCGGAAGTCTACAAGAAAGCCAAATATATGCAATTTGCTCAGTCCTAGAAAAAATAGATCCTATTTGGTGCACAGTGTAGTCATTAGGGCGAAAGACACTTTTCCCATTCTTAAACCCATATGAACATCAAACGGTCAGTGCAGTATAAGTTCGCCACGAAATTTTGTTCAAATTTTGGGAGAATGATTTGGAATCGATTAAGTGGGGTGGAGCAAAATTGATATTATGAAACACAAAATGTGATTATTTTTATCAAAACAACCAAATCCAACATCTTACATCGAAACTTTTAATTTCATAGCTCCCTTCATTTCTCACATTTTCCGACACGGCGAACGGCCAACAACAATCCACCGAGCTCCCAAGCTCTTCATGGCGTCAAAAATCCTATAAACCATAACAGTAATTCGATTTGCTCCAATCCGTCCCAAATCGACCGTTATCAAGTTTTTCTGCGAGAAATCGAATCAGGTCGCATCCCCCGATCAGCCATGCTGCAGTCGGAAAGCGTTCAAATTCCGTCAGCCAAACGACGGGCATGGACGAATCTGGACGAAACGAGATATAATTTGAATATAAGGAAAAATCTCAGCTGGATGTCCACTTTGGTCGGTCGGTCGGTCGGTCGGTCGCTGCAATGATATTGATCTCTTATTCATTTCGCTTCCATGAACTGCTGGGTTGGAGACTGGATTCCTGCCATCGCCCCGTCGCCGTCGCCGTTGTTGGTGTCGTTTATTCGTCTCGTCGATAAAACGGTGTGTCAGAAAGTGGGGAGGAAGAAATATGATGCGAAAATTCGGTGCTCCCAAGATGCCAGGTCTTGGGATTACGCCATTCGACAACGGAGGTGAGAAAATTTCGAAACCCAATGCTTTTCGATGGTGACAAAGCTATCGTTTGCGTTTCTTTATCCGAATAAATTATAAGGTAATATTCTACGATCCATTTATTTTTATATCAGATAAACGAGTACTTAGTGTTTTTTTTCGTCTTCCGTGAGGTGAACAGCATTTACAATTCAGCACTTTTTCTGCAATCATCAACTCATTTCAAGAGTGAAAAAATTGCTTTAATTAACCCTAAGTATCATCCCTAATCAAATCCATGGTGGGTACGCATGAGGACGAACATTGAGTACTGTGATCCCTTCTATTAATCAACCCTAATGGAGACTAATTAGGGAAAACGTGAACCGCTCACGGTCCATCACGACGATGAGAGTGGTCTCCAGCGTACTACGCCTATTCTACTGAGCTGAGATTTTTAGGTCCTCAACACCACAAGGGTTCGAAAGGATTTAATTTGAGGCAGCGTAGTCCAAATGCTTTCCTTGGGAAAAGAATTAATCCTGAAGAGAATTAGTTATTCCAACTTGTGTTAGCAAAAATAAATCCGATGGTCAGAGAACTTTTTTTGAATAGTAAATTTCCACAATTTCGATCTCACTTTGATAGTGACTGGGTACTATGCTCGCGATTAAAGCGTCGCCGGGTTCGGTGACTTCCGTGTGATGCTTTGTTATATAATTCAGTATAATTATCATCCTAGGCAGTAGACAGTGCTCTGAAAATGTTTCACAAGTTAACTTGATGGGTACTGACATATCTATATAAGAGCCCTTCAATCTATTGAGTATCTTTTATAATGCTGTTGTTGCATAATTTTAGCTAATAAGTCGCATTTTTTTTTATTTTGGGCCACATGGCGAGTGACAAGTATCAAAATAAGTTCAGCATGTTTTCTTATAAACGCCAGTTGGAACGTTTGTTTTTGTATAACCTGATCGCACTCGCAAAATCACAAATTGGAACAAATAGAATGATGATTTCATCTTCAAACTGAACATTAAGCCTTCTACTGACTAATAAAATAACAGAAGTTATGTGCTATATGAGATATCAAACATATTGATTAGATAAACTATTTCGGAAAAGCATGCCTAGATGGTACGCGTCTACAGACGAACATACAGACATCACCAAATTTCGTCTTGCCGAGCCGATTTCTCATATTCAATTTGATTCTACGATGCCGTAATCAAACTGTCAAATTAGAGTGAGCCAAGGCCTATCGATTGGAAATATGTTACACAGGTGAAATAGTTTGTGTGACTGGCTATTAGTCACAGACGGAAAGTCGTGCTGAATTCAATTTTAAAACCTCAAGTTACTTAATAACAGGTAACAAAGGTAACAAAACAAATGCTACTTAATTCCATTTAAATCTAACCGTTCAATTGGTAGTTAATGGACCGGACCCAGCAGAATAACGTTTTCTCGCGCATGACTTCCAACAATCTGTCATTATTTCCACTGTCATGTTGTCATCATCGTCACTACCTTCGTCCTTTCAACTTCATCTTCAATCAAGGTGCGAGTAACATCAACCCAGCATCAGCAGCAGCACCTGTTCCGTCGTCTTCCATCGTTTCACAAGCCTTCAGGCCACTCTCCGATGCCACCTCCGACGCCACCACCTCCGACGACGACGACATCTTTATCAATTGCGCCTACAAAGACACCAAGGACGACGATGAGGCATCACGTTACGTTCTCATTACGATAATGGTGTGCGCACGCGAATCGCAGACGCCTTCTGGCATGCTGGCAGAAATGCCAGATTCACGTTCACATAATGAACATTCCAAGGCAGCTGAAACTTTCTCAAGGCCGACAACACGCGCCGGATTTCTTCCGGGAATTCGGGCTCACCTGTCAGTGTCAATTATATCTTTTCTTCGGGGGGAATGATATGCTGCCCCTCAGTCACGGGAGGAATTAGCCTTCTTCGTTCTTGGCCCAGTAGCTTTGGCAGACTAAGGCTTCGTGTTGCTCCGTTTTTTGTTATCTCAGGTTAGCCAATTCAGGCCAAGCGCACCTACAGTGATTTGTCAAAAATAATGAACGAATTCACACGATTTGCGACGGGAGCAGTTTTTTTTTGCTGCTGTTCTTTGTCTATGACAAGGGATTTGTTAATTAATTTTCCATCGGCAGAGGTGTCTCTGAGCGAGGTGTGTGCTTCAACCGACACCGAATAATCAAACCTTTCTTTTGTCGGGAGAGAGAGACTAGTGAAAGTGAGGTAACCTCACCTAATAAACAGGTGAAAATGGGTCTTCTCGAATAGGAACATCGCACTCGGGTGGAAAAAGTACGTGTATCGGACAGGTAGGCAAAATTTAATTGATTGTTTGCGTGACGGGCAGCAATCTGGCTTGGCAGAAACGGTGTGCGAAAGGCCGGAAAATGTCGAGGAGCGTAATCAAGCATATTTCCATTCGGGTGAGCTTTCAGAAAGGGGGTAAGTTTACTTTTTTCCTCCTTTGTTCTGGATGTTGACGGTTGTGAGCTGGAAAAAAGGGGTTGAACAAAAAACCTAGTGTTAAACGAAAAACTTGACCACACTTTGAGCAACGCATCAGCACACGGACGATGAAACTAGCTCAACATTGAGTTGGATTCGACTTAATTTAGCATTTTTTTTTCTGTTTGGGACAAAATTCTACTGCAACCAGTTATTGGATCTATTATTAATTTGTATTGTGGTATACCCTGTGTCCATAGTTTAGTGCGATCGGATGAGTAGATGCCGGTAGTGTTTAACGTATTTTAAATATGGCGTCTTGGGCATGAATTTGAATGTAGCTTGTATGAGCTGTCACTTCGGTTCGTCGGTGGTATTACTTCATTACTATTGAGAAATGAAGAATTAATAGGTTATGATACAGTTTTTATTGTTACCTTAACCGCAAGGATCTGACTCTAAATGTAAGGTACCGCTATTTATACATTCAAAGAGTGAGAGCACCTTCTTAAGGCGTGCCCTTTTGTCAGTCAAAATCAAAAGTGGATTCCTTAGTAACAAAATTAAGCAATGACACCGATAATGACCATCAAAATCCTAGTCTTAACCACTTAAAACTAGAGAACAGCAAATTAATGATTAGGAATCACGTAGATGAAAAATACAGAGGCGTCGCGTGCCTTATTTGTTTACCTGTGCACCAAGCTTTGTTCGTTATAAATAGTTTACCACCACATATTAGTTTTTGTTTTTTGTTGGGAAATATTCTCAATTCCGGAGTGGTTTGAGATTTGGACGTAATTGTATTTGTAAACAAACAGGTCAATTATCGATTTCTCGTGAATCAAAGCTCAATTATGTAAACAAACTATACCAAATGATAAAAGAATCATACCTCTACCTCATAGTGTTAAAAGTTTTCAAAATTGAGCTTTTATTCGCGAGAAATCGACGATTGACGTGTTTGTTTACAAATACAATTACGCCCAAATCTCAAATCATTTCGGAATTGCTATATTAATCACTAACTAACGTAACATTTGAAGGGCCTATCATATTGTGTAATAAAAACTTGTATGGCCCTTTTCGCGCTAACCGAAGTAGGGGGAATAGCAAAACTTAACTCTTCTAATTCTTAACTAAATTATTTTTTATCGCAAGGCTAATTCTTTCGACTGAAGTGTAATGAAGAATATCCGTCAACACTTTCGAAAACATTTGTTGATACAAAACAGTGTCAAAATCTAGAGAGAATTCATGAAGTCCCCTGGGTAGCAAACTTGAATTAATCAACTCTTTATTCATCAAAACAACACTATCAGAATGAACCAGGGGACGCTCATAAGGCGACAGGCGCACCGGCGCAACCATCGGTAATTGAGAGATTTACAACTGACAAGATAGTGAGAGCGAGCTTTTGCGCTGTTCTTCTCCATTACTCTCTTTGCCTGCAATCAGATATCCACGTGCACAGCGAAAAATGCACGCTTAGGCACCCATACATCACAAATGTTCTTCTAATTTAAACTCACACATTCAAACCGGTCTGCTAGTATGATACACGTCCAAAGCGTACCAGACTGCTGTTTCCGTGTTGCTCTCGTTTGACGCGTGACTGCTTTGAAAGTGAAGTACAACTAGTGGTGCAAACCACCATGTATTGTGGAAAATTTGTGGTATGTTTCAAGAGGTGATAGAAGGTCTGCTTGGCTTACATTAGGTATTTGACCATTCACAAACTTCCACCCGATGTCCCTTCCCTCCAGATCAACGATGCTCTTACCTTCCGGGAGCTTCAGTTTGCCCTCGGCAGCAGTACTGGTAAATCTGCCGGGCCGGACGAGATTGGATACCCGGTGTTAAAAAAAACCTCTCCCTCGACGGAAAAACGAGGCTACTTGCCCTCTTCAATGACCTATGGCTCACTGACTCGTATCCGGACCTCTGGAAACAAAGCCTGGTAGTGCCCATTCCGAATAACAACGCGGCGAGTGGAGAAGCCTCCTTCTTTAGGCCGATTGCGCTCACTTGCTGCGCGGCAAAAGTGATGGAGAGAATGGTAAATCGTCGACTTAGGCAGTTCCTGGAGTCTAACAGTCTCCTTGACGAACGGCAGCATGCATTCCAGCAAGGACATGGCTCCTCCACTTACTTTGCAGCCCTGGGGAATGTACTCAAGGAAGCCCAGGACAACAGTCACCATGCGGAGTTAGTATCACTTGATATTTCAAAGGCGTTAAACAGGACGTGGACGCCTGGCGTCATCAGGCAGCCCATCGGCTGGGGCCTGAAAGGCCACATCACACACTTTGTACGGAATCTCCTCCTTGATCGTACCTTCCAGGTGACTGTCGGGAACACTCGATCGGATCCGTTCCCCGAGGAAACTGGAGTCCCCCAGGGATCCGTCATAGCGGTTACGCTATTCCTGGTTGTGATGAACGAGGTGTTCAGCCGACTGCCCAAAACCGTGCACGTAATCGTCTATGCCGATGACATACTCATCGTCGTAACGGGACGAACGACTAAACGGACCAGGAATATTGCCCAAGCAGCTGTCTCCGCTGTCAGCAGGTGGGCGCTTTCTGTTGGTTTCCAGCTCTCCGCTCCAAAGAGTGTACGGTGCCATATCTGCCACTCGGGCCATCTGATTCGGGGACCACCGATCACCATCCAGGACCATCCAATTCCGCTTAAGAAAACAGTACGTGTTCTGGGGGTAGTTCTGGATCGGACTCTAAGTTTCGACCAGCACTTCAGATCGGTGAAAGAAAACTGTCGTAACCGCATCAACATCGTTAGGACAATCTCCCGCCGGCACCGCTCCAGTAACCGCGAGATCCGCCTTCGTGTCGCCCGGGCTGTTATCGACAGTCGACTTTTCTACGGCATTGAAATTACCTGCGTAGCCACCGAGAAGCTGAACCGCATCCTCGCTCTGGTATACAATACCTACGTACGCATCGTATCTGGCCTTCTATCTTCCACGCCTGCAGACGCTGCTTGTGCGGAAATCGGAGTCCTCCCTTTCCGCTATCGATCTGCTGCAGCTACTGCTACGAAAGCCGCTGCCCTCGCTGCTAAGACATCCGGGAATGATAGGGTCTTTCTCCTCAACGAGGGGAACAGAGCCCTCCGCACTGCAGCCAACCTTGACCTCCCCCCGGTGGCCAGGGTCCACTGGCATGCAGAGAAAAGTTGGCGATCAAACGTTATCAAAATAGATAAGCGGATTAAGAGAGGATTCCAAGCCGGAGATAACTCTGTAGCGTTGAGGCGTTCAGTTGCAGAACTTCTCGGGTCAGTCTGGAGTGTGAATCGGAGTGGTAGGACCAAACTCCGCAACAGTCAAAGTCTACCGGAGGAGTGTTCCGTTTTTTTTTTCGCAGAAGCCGCTGCTATTCTTGATGCAGCCATCACTCCTGCAGATCAACCGATCCTTGTGCTAACGGACTCACACAGCGTCATCCAGGCGCTGGAAGCCGAAACCCCGAGCCACCCCTGGATACAAGCCATTATACGATATGCCCCACCCTCAACCGTTTTTACGTGGATTCCCGGGCACTGCGGTGTTCCTGGAAACAAGGCTGCGGACAGGCTGGTCCCCGCTTCACCAGGAACGTACCACTCCTAGACGTCAAGCGTTGGATCGCGAATATTATAATGGAAGCCTGGCAGGAGGAATGGCTTCAGTCGCGGACCACTTTCCTGAGAAAGATCAAAGAAACCGTACGACCCTGGCTAGACAGCCACAAGTACAAGGACCAACGGATCATTTCAAGACTCCGGACCGGCCATGCGAGGATTTCCCACAATTTTGGTGGGACACCCTTCCACAAGGTTTGTCCAATCTGCAGCATCCCTGCCTCGGTAGAACACGTGCTGTGTGTCTGCCCAGAGTTTCAAAGGCTACGCGAACAACACCGACTCCCCGAGAACATCAGGGAGCTACTTGGAAACGACCCCTCGACGCTGGCTGCGCTGATTGCTTTCTTGAAGGACGCCCACCTGTAGGTACAACCAAATCTAGCACTCTCGTCGTTGGCTGCGCTGTCCGTGTTCTTCCACCTTCCTATTTTCCTGCCGTCGGGGTATCTCTGCCGGACTGGGGCACTGTCTCTTACGGTGGAGCTCTACCCTTTTTGAAGCAAATTCTAAATATTTCTTACAACAATGAATATTCTTCAT